CCAGCCCCTCTCACAGCAACTCCATGAACCAGGTCCCACATCGTGGTGATCCCTGTTCCGTCGTGAGGGCTGCCGTGTCCATCACTTCACTGAGGCCCCGGTGTCTGCTGAGCCTCCGTGTCACCGAGCACGGCGGCCCTTCCCCAGCAGCGGGCCTTTCCCGACGACATGCCGAGTGAGGAGCTGAAGTCTGGCCTCAACCTCACTTCCCTCGCGGAAGCTCTCAGGTTGTTCTTCTGAGGCAGATGTGTCTGTCCTCCAGGCAGTCCACATCTGACTCCAGAACTCAATGGCACCAGCGGGCACCCTCCTTTTTCTGGTGTCCAGTTTTTTAATTCATATGAGGGACTGAGGAGGCCATGGCCTGGGTCAGATGCACCTTAGATTTTCAGAAGCCTCTTGCCTTGAAGAGGTGTTTGAGGCCCGTTTTCCCAGCATCTGTCTCAGGGGTGTAGACTCCACTGGGGAGGCCGCAGGGCAACTGGCTGACATAGGGCCAGAAAGGTCACCCAGTGACTCCACAGGACAAAAGGCCTGGTCACCTACTCCCAACGGTGTCTTCCCTGGGAGGTCTGCAGTGGCCCTGCCTTGTCCTAGAGGTCACTGTGACTCCTTTAGAAATGGCCTGACCACAGGCAGCAGCAGCAGCCCTGGAGCAGAGAATCAGCTCCAGGCCCCCATCTCGTCAGAATCAGAGCTTCCTGAGGCCATCACACTCACCTCCTCACACCTTCACCCCTCACCTCCTCACCCCTCACCTCCTCACCTCCTCACTCCCTCACCCCCTCGCCCCCTCACCCCTCATGCCTTCACACCCTCACTTCCTTAACGCTCACCCCCTCACCTCCTCACCCCTCACCTCTCACCTCCTCACTCCCTCACCACCTCACCTCCTCATCTCTCACCTTCTCACACATCACCCCTCACCTCCTCATGCCACTTCACCCCTCACACCCTCACCTCCTCACCACTCCCTCACCTCCTCACTACTCACCCCCTCACCCCTCACCCCTTCACCCTCTCACCCCTCGAAACCTCACCCCTCACACCCTCACCTCCTCACCACTCACCTCCTCACTCCCTCACCACCTCACATCATCACCCCTCACCCCCTCAAATCCTCACCCCCTCACCACCTCACTTCCTCACCCCCTCACCCCTCACCTCCTCATCCCCTCACTTCTTCACCCCTCACACCCTCACCACCTCACCTTCTCACCCCTCACCTCCTCATGCCCACACCCTCACCTCCTTAACGCCACCACCTTACCTCCTCACTCCGTCACCCCCTCACCTGCTCACCCCCACCCCCTCATTCTCACGCCCTTACTCTCTTGCTCCTCACACCCTCACCTCCTCACCCCTTTATCCTCTCACCCCCTCACCTCCTCATGCCCTCACACCCTCACCTCC